GTGCTGCTCCAGGGAGCACAAGAGCAGCAGCGAGGAGCTGGGGCTGCTCCCACAGCAGTGCATGGGCTCAGAGCAGCAGGGAGGGAGCAGGCTGCTACCCATGGGGCTCCCGGAGCAGAACGATCATCTGAATGGCACATGGGTGTGGGTTTGTCCTCTGATAGATTGCACAGAGGAGAGCAGTGAGGCAGCAGAAAGCTGCTCTCGTACCGAATTCACCAGCAGATAAATGATCTTCAGCCTTTGGCGCTGGTGCAGAAGCTCTCAAAGCCTCGTGGCCGAGCACGCAGCGACCCAGAAGTGCCAGGGGAGACCTCAGCGTGGGATACTTCCCCTGGAGGTGTGTGGGAAAAGTCCTCTGGGGAGATGAAGAATGGCCCTAAAAGTGGATGGAGCCGAGGGAGTGCCTCGAAAGAGCACGGAGAGCTGCAAAATGCTCATCATCTTGAGGAAACTGGTTTTGAGTGTCAGTTCAGTTCAGCACAGGGGTGGGGGATCGGAGCCGTGGCAGATGTGAGTTGGGGCTGAGCCTCGGCTGGGCACTGAGCAACGTGTGGCTCAGGATAACGGTGGCACTGTCTTGTAAGCAAAGACCCCTGACGTGTAGGACGTGGGGCCTGTGGTGTGCGGGGGGCCATCGTGGAGCATCTCAAAGGAGTGAGAACAGGATAATGGAGGGTGACTGTGTCCATGTGTGAGCTTAAAAAAAATCATTGGAACAAAAGCAGAGAGAGGCAACAATGGTGGCTGAGAATAACCGATGGCCCGGGGCTCTGCCCTGTGTGCTTATGCGTCAAACAGCACGATTTCATCCTTTTCCCCTGCTTTGTACAATGAGCTCCCCTTTCCGTTCTGTAATACGTTCAGTGTATTTGGATTTACTGAAGATACTCCAGGCCTTGTACCTGGGACATCCCATCCCACGCTTGGGTTCACCCCTTCCTCCTGCCATTGCTGACAGCATCTTTCCTCTGCTCCCAGCAGGAGACCGCCCTTCCTCTTCCCACCCCCAAAATCCACTCTGCCAAAGCATACCAGACGTTTGGAGCAGTGCATGGTATGTTTTATGTCTTGGATGCTTTCCTACATCCATAATTCATCCTATTTTCTGGAGTGATAATAGCAAATAAGAGCTGCTCCTCGAGAGCTGCTGCCTGGCTCTTTGGAATTGGTGAAGAAGCACTTTCTGTGCAAGGGAAGGGGAAAATTCATCCTGCTTCAGTATTTGTATTGCTGATATTTCAGCGGAGTCCAAGAAGCTTTCATCTGGCTAGACCAAATTTCCTGAAAATGTTGAAAACATATTGGTTCAAAACCTCCCCAAACCCACGTGTTCTGGATTAAGCATGTGTTGGGAGCTAACATCCTTCTTTCCCCAGCTCCGCCATGGTCTGGCATTAATAACACAGCACTTGGAAATGTTTGAAAAGCCTCACATATCTCATAGCCCCGTGAGTGGAGTGAACATCAGTGCACCCATTCTGCAAACGAAATGATGGAGTTGCAGAGGTTGAAGTGGGCCTTCCCATCTCATCCGTTGGGACAGCGTGTCAAAGCGTGTCATGGGTTCCTCATTGCTTGAAAACTTTATCTCTGGAGTAGCGATTTAGCTTTTCTTGGTCTCTTCCCTGCTCCCCCCAGCATTAATTAGAGAGGGATACAGGGCTCGATGGGAGGCTTACTGGGCAGGACTTCATTAATCCTTGGTCGTCATCATGGTTCCTTGTGGTCTTACCTGCTGTGAAATGACAGCGTCCACCATGCAAGGTTGTACCGACTGCCACAGCCTTGTCTTTGGGACACCAAAGTTAAGAAGGACTTTGACCAGCAGCCATATGTCTGTTGGTCGCTTCTCTAGTGATGCTTTCCCCGCCGTGGCCAGGTGGGTTCTGCAAACCATCTCTTCTCCAGGGGCCTCTGGTGGAGTCAGGCAGCATTCAGAGCTCCCTCTGGGATCCAGCAAGCGATCTCTTTGTTAAACCAGATGGCTACCAGGATTTGGAAGAGTGCTTTGCTCAAATTCCCATCGCTGTTGAGAGAGGCGGTTGTTAAACCTGGCATTCCTCTTGCAACCACAGCCAGAAGCTCCCGCTTCAAAGAAGAGGCTGCAGGTTTTTGGGAGTGCACAACATTAGGGAAGATGGGCCTGCAGGATAAGTCACACCGAGCTCCTGCTTCTGTTCTCATCTTCAGATTGCAACTGTGCTGGAAGTGAAGGGACGTGTCTGCAAGGTGGACAGGGAATCGCTGGGTCTGGGTTCTGCCTGTCCCTGGGGTGAGGGTGGCTCAGCAGTCTTCCTTGGGACAGCTTTCTGCAATGGCCTTTTGCAGGTTTTACATCAAACCAGCATAATTACAAAGATCTGTTCCTGTCAGTAAGACCAGTTTGAACCATTCTGAAAGAATTCGAGCTATTTCTCGTTAATCCACACACACAGCTAATAAGTGAACGCAGGTTGGTTTGTGTTTTTTGTTATTTTAAATATGCTATTTATATCAGCACATGACCTAAAGAGGTTTGGGGGTATTTTTGTATTTATAGCAAATCACAGCAGCGTGTAGCACACAGAAAGTAAAATCAAGGGGGGTAGGGGGGGGGGGGGGAAAGTAAACTCTCTTAATCTTTATAAGCGAAAACATGTCATGTGTAATATCCTCGAGTTGCATCACCATCTGGTTTCTCTGCAGCCCGTGGTGGTTATGCAGCAGATGTTGGGGTCGACCCCATCCCTGCAGCACTGTGCAGTGCCCTCTGCGTGGCCACATGTGCTGCCCTGCACAGCGCTGGCCCACCTGCTGCAATCCCTCCCTTGGCGTTGGGAAGCGGCCGCAGGGATTCTGCTGGTGCTGCCCCAGACCTCCTCCCGTGTTTCCCCCCTGTGCCAACCCTCTGCAGGGGGAGGGCCGTGTTTGGGTTATGGAGGGTATTACGAGTGGTAGAAGCAGCTCAGCTTGCTGGCTTTGGTGCTTTGAGTCAAGTTAGCAGCCTGCTTCGTGGTTCTGTGCTAACAGCTTGCGGTGCCCTTGGGAAGAATTCTCTCCAAGAGGACTGATGAACTGTTGAGCCTTTCTGGCAATGCCCTATGGGGATGAAGGTTCACACTGAGCCAGCAGACCCCTCCAGACCTGTGCTGCTCTCCTGGAGGTTTGGAATAGCCCCCTCATTTCCAGCTTGGCTGCCTTTGAGCAGGAGCCTTTCTACAAAAACGTTCTCGTTTGAACTCAGCTCTGTATGGAGGAGCTCCACCAGGCAGCAGCAATCTTCACTCCATGTGTGTGGGTCATTTGTAGGACTGTGCATCCTGTATGAGTGAACCCCATCCCATGCTCACTGCTGTGACCTTCAAGGCCTTTCTTCTGCTGCCCCTCTTCTCTGTCTTGGTGCTTCTTGACAGCTTTGCTGAAGCAAAGGGTTCCACAGGACTGTGAGCTCTTCTGAGGAAGAGCAGCATAGGAGCGTAAGAGCAAATTTCATTTCAGCTGAAGCAAAACAGAGGGGAGGATAAACTTCCCTCAGTTTGGTTTGGCCTCAAGCACGAATAGAAAGCTTGCAGGGGAGAATATAAGTGGGGTTATGAGGAGGAAGAGTGGAAGCTGAGCACAAATACAAATGCAGAAGAGCCCTGTGCTTTGGCAGGTATTGGGGTGGAACTGTGCCTCCCAAACTCAGTGAGAGGCTGTTACTGCATGGCAGTCAGTTCAGAGCTATCTGATGAGTTCTGAGCAAAACCAAGCAAAGCTTTGGCTGCTGGTGCATCCCGTGAGCCCCATGGCTCCCCGTGCAATTAAACTATCCATCCCTCCCTGTTGGGAGACGAACAGATGCAAACCCCAGAGGCTCAGAAGCTCCCAGGGCTAATAATATTGTGTTTTTTTTCATGTCAGAAGTATTTTTGTGTTTGTCAAAAGATTCACTTGCACAGCCGTAACATCTCTCTCTGCCGTGCCTGGAACAGATGCGTGTGTTGTAATATAGACTGCGAACATCCCCATCGCATGTGGTTCTCATTCCTCCCATTCATCTTTGAAGCTAATTGGTTCCATCCATCCCCAATGTGTTTGGCTCGCCGCAGCTATTTGTACTTTCACTCTGGTTATGGCGCTAATGGTGTGATATATATAACATGAAATAAACTCTCGTGACTCCGAGGTCTGGAGAGGCGCAGAGGCAGTGCTCGCCTCGTGCTGCCCGCCCTGGGTTGTTCTCTGGGTGATGTTCCCTGCCTTGTTTGCTTTCCCTGAGCACGGTGTCGCGGTGCTTGGCAGGTGTGGGCAGCATGGCAGTGGCCGCCAGGTGTGTTGGCCTGGCAGCTCGCCTCTGCTGGGCTGATAGGAGGGTGTACGTTTGTACAGAATGCATAAGAAATAGCTTTTCAAAAGAGCAGATTGATAGAGGTAATAAGTCAGATGATACCCTACATTTCCTACATGCAATGCGTGTGCCTGGGCTCCAGGGGTTCTGCAGGCAGGGTGGCACCTGGGGGTCTCGTTCTCATCCATCATGAATCGCTGGGGAAGCAGCGGGGTGTGCTTCACGCTCATGCTCAAGAGCTGTGCCCTGCTCAGCTTCTCTAGGAATGTTTCAGCCACGAGCTGAGCTGGGTTCCCTCCCCAGCCTGCTTTCCCCAGGACATTCGCTGCATCACCAAGGCAGCAGGGCTCTGCACAACCTCCCAGCAGTGGCTGCACAGCATTCTGCATTACAGGGATCGAGGCTCAGGATTTCTGCTGTCCAAAAGCTCAGTGTGCCCCATTGCAGAGGCGACCTCGGCGGATACAGGCAGCACATCTGTGTGCAGAAGTCAGGCAGTGCTGCAGCAGAGCTGTGCACAGAGCATCCTGCAGAGCTGGGGGCTCTCAGCCTTGGGTGACCGCTTCTGTTCCCAGTTTTGTTCCAGACAGAAGCCTCTTCCCAAGTGCTACGGGTGGCAGCGGGGATTTTTAGGATTAATTGATCACTGAATCTTACTGGCTTTCTTTTTTGTTTTTTTTCTTTGTAGGTCCAAGCTCAGTTAAAAACAAGAAAAAGGGTAAGTTTGATTTTTAATGTAATTTGACCTCAGTTAGCCCTTGGTGCACCTGTGTTAGTGTTCTGGCTACAAGTTCTCCACCTGACATGAATGGGAAAACCATTCATTCACATCCCAGCAATGGGCACAGCATCAATGCAGCACTCTGGGGCTGCTCCCCATGCCTCCACCATTGCTGTGGCAGAACTGCATCCCCCAGCAGCACTGTGGAGCTGGAGGTGCTTGCTGAAGTCTTCTTTAAAAGCAAAGGGAACTTAATTGCATTGTATAGAAGCGATTCCCATAACAAACAGCTGTGCTGCCATGTGCCAGCTGTGGCGAGCTGCCTGCTCTCTGCAGCTCCAGCTTCCCTCTGCTCTGCCATGGGTCCTGCTGCAGCTTGGTGCCTTCTTCAGACCTTCAGATTCTCTGAATGCACTCTGCAGCTTCTGTGTGCACCAAATGCAGAAGTTCTGTTTTGTGTTTCCATGCTGAGTGTGGGTCGGCCCACAGGTGATGCCTGGCTTTCTCACCACGTTCCTCAAGCTGTTTGCAATGTGCACCTACTACCCAAAATGCAGACTGGGGAGGTGTAGTGTTTTGTGTTTTGGGCACACGATTCCGTGCTTTGTGGGGCATCTGGTGCCATCTGTGTTTGTGCCTGGCTCCTTGGCACACACAGTGGTTGTGCATGGATCTGCTACCAGAACACAATCCAAAGATCTGGGTTGCTTTGTAGGCTTGTTCTCAAAACCAAGCAACAGCCATTTAGGGTTTTAGGTTTAGGGGAGTGCAGCCATTGGCCCCGTGCTGCTCCTCTCACCCATCAGAGCACCCATCAGAGCACCCACCCATCTCACACCCAGCACACGCCCACAGTGCCCTGCAAGCAGCAGGAAGGTGCCAGCTGTGTGCAACTCAGGGGCTCCCCCAGACGTCTCTGCAGCACTCAGTGCTCACTGCTGATGCAGGGCTGCACGCAGCCAGGGCTGTGACAGCACCTGGGGATGGGGCACGCAGGATGCCACGTTGCACTGCTGCATGGCCCTGGCACTGAGCTGCAGCAGCCCCTGCACGGCACAGCACAGCACAGCGCTCTGCTCTTGCTCCTTGCATGCAGCCTCACGGCTGATGGCTGCTGTGCTCAGAAACATGGGCTGTTTGTGCTCCAGAGCTGCGTCACGTTTCATGTTCACAAAGTTTGTCCTAACAGAGCTCTGAAACCCCAAACCCTGCTAAATCAGCTGAGCTAACAGCAAACGGTGCTGTGGTGTTCGTGCAGTCCTGGAGCAGCTGAGGGATCTCGCAGTGCTGTATTACATACAGCTGTAGTGCTGCATGGAATATTTTTCTGTTATGCTGTTGTCACATTTTCTTTAATTTATTTTCGTTTTTTGGACTTAGAGCTTATTGTTTGGCAAATGGCAATTAGGGAAAGCACACGCTGACTGTGCTGCACTTGGGTCGTGCTGCCTGTGCAGTGCATGTGGCTCCTGGGAGCAGGGCCTCCACCAGCAGCTCTGCCACACTGAGGGGCTCTAAAAAAAGTCCAGAGAGGAGGAAGGGGAAGCAGCAGCAGCAGCAGCATCTCATTCTTGTGTATCCATGCTGAGCACTGCAGTGCACTCCTTGCTCCGTGCTGCAACCCACCCGGCAGTGGTCTCAGCTGGAAGGTGAATTGAGCTTTGTGTTTTAGTGAATAACCACTTTTTGCCTTGTGATATCAGTGAGCAGGATTCCATTACAACAGAGGGGGAGTTGAAATTGCTCGAAGGAGCAAGAATGCCCAGAATGCACATCCCTGTGCAGCTTCAGCATGATGCGTGGTTGTTTTGCTGCTGAACGAGCAGCACGCTGAGCTGCAGACCCCACTTCTGAGATGGATTGGTTAAAACAGCTGGCATGTGATCCTCTTGGGAAAGAAAGAAGGGGAGCCAGCCGTGGAACTGCTGGCCCCATGTGTGAGCCTTCCTCAGCATTGGCCTAGGTAGAAGGAAGGGCATTTGCAACGTGCTGCTGGGGAGATAGGTGAGAGCTGGGACTCGAGCTGCTCATTTCGAAGAGCTGTCACCATCCTGAGGTGGAGCATTGCTGGCGTGGCCTGGTGCATGGCCAGCTCAGGTGTGAAGGCACAGCTGCTGATCTGGGCAGAAATATTGCAGGTCACAATTTGTCCCCCTGTTTTTATGGGATACTGGCGTTACTGCCATATTATTTTGGTTATGCATAGCTAGTTTAGTTTACTTCTTTGATTCAGAAGGTAACATTCTGCTTCCTTTAGCCCTAGAATTTACAAGGCTGGAGGTGAGTTGTATGCAGGGAGCAGCAATGTGGGGAATGGCCGTGAGGCACTGAGCAGCACAGCTGTTTCTCATCCCTGGTTCGTAGCCACAGTGCACCAGGTTGTATCCCACCAGTTCCACGCAAGCTGAAAATTCTTGCTGTGTGCAGTGATGTGATGCTGATGCTGAAGGTTTATGTACAATGCATCAGCATACAGCAGCTGGGAAAGATTGCAACTGTTTTCCATCAAAAAGCTTCGGTCACATCCACACCCCTGGGGCAGATGCTCCGTCCCTCGGGTGGCCCTGAGGTGCAGTCCTTGTTTAGGTGTAATTGCACTGCAGGTGATGACCAGTGGTCATGCACCCACACGGCTGCCCGGGGAGCAGTGGGTTCCCCCAGAAGTGTTGCAGAGCCGTGGGGACGTGGCACTGAGGGACTTGGTGCTGGGTGGGCTGGGAGCAGAGGGGCCTCTTCCGACATGAGTGATGCTGTGTGCTGACACTTGGCCTTGTGTTTTCCAGGTAAGAAGGCCGGTCCTCCAGGACCCAACGGTCCCCAAGGGCCACCAGGCCCCCCTGGGCCCCAGGGCCCCCCTGGCATCCCCGGCATCCCCGGGATTCCTGGGACCACTGTGATGGGACCACCCGGCCCCCCTGGCCCACCCGGCCCCCAGGGCCCCCCAGGGCTGCAGGGCCCCTCAGGTGAGCGCTGCTATTAGAAAAGGCTTCTTCAGAGAAACCGGGGCTGTCCCCCCACAGCTCACACAGCTATCAAGGGGAAGCTTAGCTGACGTCAGTCTCCCCCAGGATCAGGGGACAGCAGCAGTGCCAGGTCCTCAGTGCTGCCGCATGGTGCCCACGAGCATCTCCTCTGTCACGGAGCTTTGGCTCTCAGAGAAGCTTCAGCAGAGCATGAGTGCAGCAGATGGCTGCGTTGCTGCCTTCACACTGCTGTTGGCATCCCAGAGCCTCTGTTGGCACTGCTGCCAGGAGCAGAGTGCTGCAGTTTGTCCTTCCAGTGGAAGCTGGTTGAGTGATCTGAGGATGCTTCAGTGACGCCGGGCAGAAATACAGGATTAAGACAGGAAAAAAGCAGGATGAGGTGTTTTCTTATTTCGGTGCTTTCTGACACGGAGCTGTACCCCACTCAGCTGCTGGTGTCCTCCTGTTAAAAACGTGTCTTTTATGCTTACTGTGGGGTAAGAGGAGGTTTCTCTGAAGGAATAGTTACTGCAGCTCTTTCAGGCTTACCCTGCAACGATGTGCATTGCATTTTGCAGGTGCCACAGACAAAGCCGGCTCCCGAGACACCCAGGTTGGTTGGCCTCCTTCCCGGTTACCAGCTTTGTTGACTAACCTTATCTGCTGTGTTTACTAACACGTAAATCCCACCCTTCCTGTGTGTGCTGTGTTGTAGCTACCCCGAAAGGACCGGCTGAGCTGACTCTTCTCATTGCTCAGAAGCAGGCTGTGTTAATCTGCCCTGGGTTTCTCACTCCTTGTGCAGTGCTGATGCTGTTCTTGGCCGCTCCGCTCTTTTGTGTTTGTGGAGAGCAGTAATGATCTCAGAGCTGTGGAGCTGTGCCCAGTTACTGTAAGACGACACGGTGTTTCTGACCGACTTTAAATCCCTGTAATCTCGTTTGCAGCCAGCTGTGGTCCACCTTCAAGGCCAAGGCTCAGCCATCCAAGTGAAGAATGGTAAGGATCTCATGCTATTGGCACTTACTGGGCCCATCCTGCAGCCCCAGGCATATATGTGGAGCTAAGACCTCCCCTGTGATGTGGGTCGGTGCTGGCTGACCGTAACAGACTCATTCCCATTGCCCAAACCCCACAGAGGAGCCCACTGCTCAGCATCCCCCCATTTCTCCTGCAGTCAAACTCATCCCCCGGTTTGTCTCTGTGCATCTCCCACTAGTTCTGCCCTACTGGATCTCACTTTCCCTTCACCTCCTCCCACCTGTTGTAAAGTCATCAGTTTTTCCTGAGTCCCCTACTGGCAGCCTCCTTTCCCAGCCTCTTTCTTCTCCTATTCTACGCCTGCAGTGTGTCCTTTTCCCACCTCAGCCCCGTTAGTCTGCTCTTTTCTCCATTTTCCCCATTAGTTTATGTCAGGAGAAAATGCAGCTGTAATGGGAGCTGCGAGCACAGAGATGCAGGGCCACCAGCTCCTGCTTTGCCGTGCTGCAGGCACACAGCATGCAGCCCCTGAGCATCCCTACCCATCCATACCCACCCCAAGTCCTGCCGAGCCATCTCACATCCACCAGCACTTCTTTGCTCTTTTCCTTCCTCCCCAAACCCATCTCCGATTTCTGCTCGCGTTCCCTTTGCCAACAGCTGGGTCTCATTCCTTAGCTGCTGCCTCTCGGCTGGCCATATCTCGCTGTACTGGAGAGGAGCTGCCTCATCCCCTGCCCAGACCCAGGGAGCTCTGGTTCAGGGCTGCAAGAATGGGACAGGGCTGCAGGAATGGGTTCACCAACCTCCGCCCCATGTGTGGGATGGTGAGGGCTGGCCAGGGCTCCTGTAGGAGGGCTCGGTTTGTCTCTCACCAGGCGTGAGCTGCAGGAGCTGACATTTCTCACGATTCTGTCTTGGAGCTGAATGTGTTTGTTATAGCAGGGTGGGGGGAAGCTCCCAGCAGCAAAAAGGAAATCTGCTGTTTCCAACAACAGCACAGGGGAAAAGATGCTGTCGTGCTTACATTTACAAAGCAATTATTCCATTATCAATGGGACCCTTCTATGTTTACAGAGCATACGCTGCTCTCTAAGAGTGGGAATTACCCTGTAACTGTCCTTCCCTGCTGCTTGGGAACAATCTGCTATGCTGAGCCTGCCTTCCTCGGGCACTCTGACATTAATGCTGTCCAGCTGACAGAGAGCAGAAAGCACAGCCTGGCTGGCTCACAGCTGGGGGCAGGGAGCAGAACAGCAGATAAAGGCTAGGAGGGGAAAGATTGCTTTTGATACAACCTGCAGACTGCAAGCTGTCCTCAGCACGTAGCAGAGCATGTCCTCGGATGTGTCTGCTGATGCTTTCAGTTGGCCCAGTGACAGAGGAGTGGGTGGTGGGTCTTCATGCCCCTGATTGTGCTGAGGATGTATCTCAGCACAGGGTAATGTGGTGGGATGCGATGCCATTTCACGCAGGCAGGTTTGCCATGTTTTGTCCCATTCCTATAAGGACAGGGATCACAGTTCTCACCCTAGCCTAGTTTAGAAAACACAGCAAATAGTTTAGAAATACTGGCACTGGTCTCTGTGTGCCAGAGTGTCCTTGCTGTGCAGCAGGGATGATGGCAGTCACTTTTGATGTTACTGGGGCTGGGAATCGCTCAGCTACTTGGTTGTATCGGGAGAAGACAAGTCAGTCTGCACCCAGCCCAGGGGACGAGCAAAGGGCCGTGCACTGCATCCCAAGGATGAGAATTGCTCTTAACCAAAAGCGAGCAGAGATCGGGTCGCTCATCCTGTGCACAGAGCAGAGCGGGTGCCCCGTTCAAACAGCAGCAAGAGGTGGCGCAGGTAGAGCTGCTGCCCTGGGAAGGAGCCAGAGCAAACACAGCACAGTGCTTAACCGTGGGGTTTTCTGACCGAGTTCCCCTGACTTTCCCACGTGGGGCTGCGTCAGCTGCTTGTGTTGCAATGTGACTGTATTTGTGTGCTCCCGCGCTTCTCATCCTGACGGGTACTGAGTGACTGCCGTTTTCTCATACTGAGATCTTTCAGGTGGAGTCCTCAATGACTGGTCTCGCATCACTATGAACCCCAAGGTGTTTAAGCTGCATGCCCGCAGTGGGGAGCTGGAGGTACTGGTGGACGGCACATACTTCATCTATAGTCAGGTAGAAGTGAGTACGGTCCTAGGCCTAACTCCTATTCTTGTGTTCCAATGGAAGCCTTGCATGAACCACGAGAGGGCTCCAGACATCTAGAGAATGCCAAGAACTTGTATGTGCTTTTAACCACTTCGTGCTCTAGGAGATGTGTGTCAGATGAAGAAGTTAATAGAGTTGGGAAGTGCGAGGTCACACGTTCTGCCACGACACCAGCTGCAAGAGCCTGGTTACTGCGACACATGCACAGAAGCCCAACCAAATCCCATGTGCCACCAGAGCCTTTTTTTTTCCCCTCCACATTGTCTGTGCAGTCACTCAGCCGCAAATCTAAACCTTATTGCAGAGCAAGAGCCCCAGCAGGAAGCTGGGCTCAGTGCTTTAAGAGGGATGCCGTGCCAAAACCCTCACGACTTGGGATGTTTGGGCAGCCGTGGCACTCTTTGTAAGCATAGGGCTCCCAGCCCAGGTAATTCCATTTTGCCTCCACATTTCAGACTGATGCTGTGCTCCAGCAGCCTTGCTGGCTGTGGGATGGCTCAGTGCCTGCATTAGGCAGCACCAATGGTGGGTTTGCAGACCTGCTTATGTAGAAAGGACTGAACAAAGTAACAATTGCTTGTATTATGACTTAGGATGGAGCTAATTAAGACACAATTTCTGTAATTTTCCCATTCAAAAAAAGAAAAAAAGCAGGAGGTGCTCTGTCAATTTAATGCCTTGCTGCTGGTTTCTTGCGAGTCTTTGACACGGAGCATGAATGCCACGTTCTGCCCTTCCACAGCAGCCGGGGTGTTCGGACACCTGAGGACTGAAAAACTGTGCAGGCTGTGGGACAGATCTCAGCACTCCTGCTCACAGTTTGGCTGCATTCAGTGGGCAGCCCCACGGGGATGGCAGCAGCAGGATGGGCTGCGGCCGTCAGGTTAGACAGGGCTCTTCTGTGGGCACGGCTGTGCGTCCACATTGGATGGTGGCAGGGAAAATAACTCTACTTGGGCCAAAGTGCAGTTGTTTCCCAAGTGCTTCGTGCTCATTGCTGGCCACCGAAGCCGTTGCTGTTTGTGGTCCGTCAAGGAAAATGGGGACTCGGCCTTGCTTAGCTTCTGTGGTCACACAGCGTAGGCTAAGAAGAACTGGCAGACGCATCCAAACTGAGTAGTTTCCTTCTATCAGGAAGAAGCAGCTCCCTGGGATGGACTTCTCTCTGTGCAGGCCTTTCTCAGGCATCCTGGAGTTCTTCAGAATCAGTACGTGGGAGATGGTTAAGTTCCAGCAAGCTGCACAGTCCTGGGGGCTTTGTCACCAGATCTAAGAGTTAAATCAGTACAGATACTGTGAGGTCATTTGCTTCCAAGCTGTGGAGGTTGGGACAGTGTCTTCCCTGTAACAGCTTATGCCTTTGAGAGCACCTCAAGTCCAGTTACAAAGAAGGCAGCTCCCAGTACATCTTAGGGCATTGTTGATGTCAGCACTAAAGGAGGCTCATGGGACCCAGAAAGCAGGACTTGCCAGGTAAGTGCAAGAGGACTTCAGTTAACAACTTTGTTTGTTTGTTGGATGGTTTGTTGGCAGGTAGATTTGTTCTCAGATTGCTGTAACTAGGCTTGCACAGGTTTGTACATTCCCTATAACAGCAGGGTCTGGCATGAGGCTTCCTGGCTCAGCCATAGAGATGCTTGGATTCACAGGCACTTGCATGCTTTTATTAGGATGAAGTGAAATACGGAGTTTCCTTATCTCTCATTGGCTTGGGGGTCATTCAGACAAGTCGGCCTCCCATGAATGTGTGTGGCTGGGGGCTGAGGAGAGGATGGTTAGCAGGGGGAGCATACATACGCACCGAGAGGAGCGTGGGCTTGTTCCTGCTTCACAAACACGCTGCCTAATAATCTCTCTTCTTCCTGCTTCACATCAGGTATACTACATAAACTTCACAGATTTTGCCAGCTATGAGGTGGTGGTGGATGAGAAACCCTTCCTGCAATGCACTCGGAGTATTGAGACCGGCAAGACCAACTTCAATACCTGCTATACAGCCGGGGTCTGCCTCCTCAAAGCCAGGCAGAAGATCGCTGTGAAAATGGTCCACGCTGACATCTCCATCAACATGAGCAAGCACACAACTTTCTTTGGGGCCATCCGCCTAGGAGATGCGCCAGCATCCTAGATGAACTTGGCACATCCAAGGAGACTCACAGAACTGCACCGTGCTGCTGTTCATAAGCGTATCAGTATTTCAGGGGGTTCTGTAATCCGGCCATAAGGAAAGCTGATCCAGAGCTATTTATTCCTATATGTGAATGCAGGAAGCACAATGTCTTCTGTGACTTGCACGGAGACTCGGATCAAAAAGCTAGCTGAAAAAGCGTGGTGAGGAAGGAAGGCTGTTGTGTCCGCCTTGTCTCAGTATTTCAAGTATTACTGCACTGATATTCTGCTCTGTGATCTTCACGTGGGGCTTGTTGGGAGTGACGTGGCTCTCTGCTTTTATGTTGCACTAAGCACGAGCATCATCCCAGGCAGGAGCAGGAGAGAGCCCAGCCAGGCGGCCCTACCTGGCGCTCCTGCTTCTGCCCGCTGATGAGAGCGAGGATTGGGGTTTCTGCTTTCCTGCCTTCTCAGTTCTAACTGGAGCGGCGCGCGGCGCGAGAGGAGGTGGGTGAGAGTCAGTGGTGTTTACATTCATCCTCAGGAGTGGAGAAAGGAGAGCAAAGTGCCTCAGGCAGAGCTGGGAAGCAGGCGGTGAGAGTGAGAGCGGTGCGGTGGAGGGGAAGGTGGATGCTGAATAGAGCAGGCTTAGCACACGGAGAACCGCCTCTGCATTCCAGAAATCACAAAGTCCCAAAGAAAAAGACAATCCTGGTTCCAGAGCCTCTGCTACTTCCAGCTCCTGCCGTGACCCCGGAGCTGTGCGCTGCCCACCGGGGGCTGCCGTCACCCACTGCTGCTGTCACAGCTGCCGGTGGTTTTTGTTTGGGGGTCGGGCTTTTTTAATGTGTGTCTTTTTAATTAATATTTTGCAAACCAGAACACTTTTCTACTGGCTTCCCAGAGGCACGCAGAGCAGACACAAGTACTTGTGAGAACACTCTGAAGAAGTTTGTCATGTTTAAGAATAAAATATTCCAACAGGAAATTATTTTTTCTGTTTTAATAGCAGCTGCCCTGCTCTTAGATGTGGTTTTCATCCTTCCTCCCCACACCCCGTCCCTGTTGGCACCCTCCTACCTAAATTGCTCCAATGAGCAGCGATGGAGTCTCTAGCAAAAATGTGTATTTAAAAAGCCTGGTCTAGCATGAAGTCACCGCTTTTCTTTGCTCTGAGCCCTGCTGGGTCTAGTCCTAACTCGATTTCTGGTGACTAATAGCGGAGCGAGGACGCTATTGTTTCTTTTGGCTTCTTGAGCAACTCTCTCCCGTCACCTCCCCACGGCTGGTGGTGAGATCTGAAGCTGGAAGTTGTGCTGGAGCTGAGGAGGAGGCCGGAGCACGAATTGCCCCTGGTGCTCGGTGGTGCGCGCCTGCTCGTGTCCTTGGGTAGGCGGCCTTCGCTAAGGGAGGGCAGTGCGATTGCAGCCCCTGTGGCAAACACAAACGGCTGCGTGGGGAGCCGAGGTCCGGGTGACAGCCAGGGCCGCCCCAGCCGTGCTCACCTGCGGTGTAAGCCAGCACTGCTGTGCCCCTGCAGGCTCTGCCTGCCCGCACTGCTCCCGGCTCCGCTGCTCTCCGCGGCCGTAGCGAGTGATCTCACTTGCCAAGTATTGCAGTTATTGGGAGATAAATATTTCTTGGGGGCACCCGGCTTTGGCTTCAGCCTTGCTATTCACAGGAGGCGTGCAGTTTATAAAATAACTGCATGAAAAATTGCCTGCTATTTCTTTTTCAATATGTTCTCCTCCTTTCTAGCCTTAACATGTTGGGCTAGCGAGAGCCTGAGGGGCACTGAAGCAGCCTTTGTTGTTTATTTCCTTTAAAATCAATTAAGAAGGAGATGTTCCTCTGACAAGAATGAATCGGGACAGCTTCTTATAGTGAGAACATGAAGCAAATCATTAACAGGATTGCTTTAGAATACAGTCTGAGCAGCGAGGCTTAGGGGCAAGCATAAATAACACGATGGCTTGGGAGAGCGCGATGGATGTCACTGGCATTCCTCATCCCCCGCTGGCAGGAGCTGTGGTTCACTTCTGAATGTGCCTGTGAGCAGCAGGAGGCAAAGGGAGAATCCCTTTTGCTGTGAGCATCCCGGCACTGCTGCCACGATCCCTTGGCATGCGTGCAGGAGCAGGGCAGGAGGTGCTGCTGGCTGCAGGTGGCCGTCCTTCCTCGCTGCTCCATGCCTGGCAGCTGTGGAGTCCTTTGTATTTAAACCCTGTGGCTGCTGCAGCAGCACGTTCTCACGGATGCAGTACTGTGGCACAGTTACCCAGGCTGTGGTATAGCTGCTTCTGTTTGATACTGCTCTGTGCCACCGCCCCTGGGGCCTCTGCACGTTTCCGTCATTGGAGCCAAAGGGCCTGGAAGCAGCTCAGGACAGCTGGAGGGGGTTCATTGGTGTGGAAGATTGTAAGCTCCGGCAGGAACAGGGCCTCGCTGCATCCTTCCCTCTGGTGTCTCTCCTGCAGAACTCCCAGCAGTCCTTCAGTTCGCCCTCACCCACGTGCCTCAGCTCTGCTGCTCAGCCTTCGGCTGGACTCCAGTTGCAGAAATGTAGCAAGCAGCCGATTGGTATCTAACTCAGCATCTGAAATCCTTCTCCCTCTGAAGATCCCCAGTACAGAGACAGCCCTTATGGAAGCCAGCTCTGCTTCTGTGTTCAGGGTGCCTTTGCAGGAGGGATGCTCCCCAGCACACCCTTCAGCTCATGGCTCTGCACCCACACGTGCTGGCTGTGCTTCCTCCAGCACCTTCCTCACCCAGGGTGGGGGCTGAGGGGCTCCTGCCATCACCAGCAGCCCATCAGTGCTGCAGCTCTGTCCTCTTAGCATTGAGCGTTGTATTTCCCAGGCTGAGAGGTACAGGGCAGGTGCTTCCCGGGGCTGCTCTCAGGTGAGCTCTTTCCACGGCTCAACGAAATCCAGACGTGCTGTCCCAGCTCAGAGCATGGGAGCAGGAAGGCACCGGTCCCAGCACTCAGCACTGCAGGCTGAGCCCCTCCAGCTGGGGTTTGTCCCATTTCTTGGGCTCTCCCCTGCCCAGGCACAGCTGTGTGTGGGTGCTGCACCCTCTGGCCTGGCCCCACACATTGCCCACCCTCATGGCTTCCAGGGGTGGAAGGAAGCCCCTCCTCACCCCCCAACCAAAAAGGAATGGGAGAGGAGCTGTGGGAAAAGATGCCCAACTCCACTCCCGTTTATCTGAGCTGCACAGAGATATTCCAATGCTGTTTTGTGCTTCGACATCTTTATTCAAGACACTATCTGTATATAAAATATACATAATGTATATAAATTAGGATGTAAGTTTATGTAAATTGTCAATATTTTCTTTGCAAATAAAGCTTTTTCCTGATCTCTGGGCGTCCCTGGATATCAGCTGGTTGCTGGGCACGGAGGGGCTGGGCCCTGTGGTGTGGCAGCCCCAACTCAGACAGGAGCGGGGCAGGCTGTGCCCTACAGCAGTGCCCCAAAAGAGAGGGGACAGGACGTGGGGAGTTCACAGGCGTAGGATGCAAATGGCCGGGGGTTCTCCACACCAGTCCCTGCCTTTGATCTGGGACTTTTGGCTGATTTCTTCTTCCTGTGTGCTCTGCAGACCCGTAGCCAGGGCTTGGGTGATGGCTGGGGCTCCCTAAGATGTGCGGTGCAGAGGGATGAGGATGATTGGGTTCAGCCAGAGGCCGGTGGCTCCTGGGTGGAGCTGCCTGGTTCCACATCTGGACAGATGTGCGCTGAGAACAATCAGGGGTTGTTCTGCTGCAGCTGCCCTTGGCCCGAGTGCATCCACTGTGGGCGGTGGGGAGGGCTGAGCCCCCAGCACTGCACTCTGTGGGTCCAGAGCCTCTGTCTGTCTGTCCAGGAGGAACCGCAGCCCAGAGGCAACAAAATGCTCTCCATGGTATGAGCTGGCAAAGGGCAACCCCAGGAAAAGTCAGGCTGCTGTGTCTTTAGATACAATCACATATATATGGAATGTGCAAGTAGGGGGAAAATGTTATCTATCATTCTGCCAGGCGCATCTAGGAACAAAGCAACCATCTGCTGCTGCACCCTTAACAGAGGCAGCCCAGCTCGGGCTGAGACACAGCAGCGTCTTCAAGGGGCCTCTTCCAGACCCACTGGGGATGTGTCACTGAGGAGCACAGCTCTCTTTCCCTGCTGGGGATAAGGAAAGGGCTGCGTCCACCCCGGCTCCTACCCAGAGCTTTGCTTTGTGCCCCCCCCCGCACAAGGGCTGAGCAGTGAGAGCACAGTGGTTGTGTCTCAGGGTGCACAGGAGGGGGATTTGTTCCTTACTTGTGGTCCTGGGATCCTCAGTGGGAGTTGGGGCGTCCAGGCTGTGGGCACATCCCCGGCACAGGGCAGGGGAAGAGCAGCTCTATGTGGGGAAGTCCTGCAGAGCCTTCTGCTCTCCCAAGCACGGCGTTCCTTCCTGATGCTTCATTTCCACGGTGGTTTCAATGGATCACCTGAGCCCTCGTGCAGCCCTGCCTCCCCCCACTCCAGCGGTTTCTCTTTCCCTTCCTTGTGGTTTTGTGCAGTTTTTCCCCTCCATGCTCCTATGTGTCTCCTTTCCCACTTCCGCAGCTGCTGACACCCGCTCTCGCTATCTCCTTCCCCCGTCCGTGCCACAGCCTATTTATGGGGCTGTGTGCAGGGGCTGGAGCAGAGCGGTGGAGCTGCGAGCAGGGCTGGCGGTGCCACCATGCGGAGTGTCCGTGGGGCAGGACGCCTGCTGCTTTGCCTGCTGCTGGTCATCCTCAGGACCCAGGCTGGTGGGGAGGCGAAGCCCAGGCCTCCACCGTGCCAGCAGGTAAGGCTGCTGCTTCCCGAGGCTGTCACGGCACTCTGCGCTGGTTCACAGCACCCATCCCTCTGTGCAGCAAAAGGGAGATCTCACATGCCTCTCCCCCACGGCACTTACCTCACCCAGCCTCCACTTCTACCCGTCCTGTCTCTCCACCTTCCTGCTCCCCTCTGCTCTCCTGGCTTCAAGCTGTTTGCCCATAGCCTTTCGCAGCTGCTCCCCGTCACTTTCAAACCAATGACAACATTTCCAGGGGATAAGACGGGACAGGGGCTCTGCAGGGCAGCGCTGTCAGTGATGCCATTAACTTTTCATTCACTGCATGAGAGGACAGCCTACATGGCCAGAGTGTGGGGCTTCTCCCATCTCCAGGAGCACCATCAGGCAGGCTTTGCCTTCCGCTCCCTCACTTATCCTCCAGGGCTTAAGGCTAAGGAGTGCCGGCGATGACCCGCACCCAAACCAGCAGATTGCACCACGCACAAAAACAGATGTGAAAAGCAAGATCCTTCACCCAGAAAGCCCACCCCATGCTGGTCTCCCGAGCAGCTTCTGGTGGCCTCACCCCTTCCCGTTGCAGGCACAGAGCAGATGACAAAGAGCAGCTCCTCTGCATGGAACTGTGCCGGCTGCTGCTGATGGGTTTCCCCGTTTCTCTGTAGAGCCCCACAAAGGTGTCCTGCAGGGCTGCTGGGCTGCACAGTTTTCCCAAGGACCTTCCCCAAGGAGTGAAGCACCTCGATCTGTCCCACAACATCCTTCAGAACCTGTCAGAGAGCCGCCTGCCTGCACTGGGGCAGCTCGAGCACCTGGACCTGCGCTCCAACCGCCTGGAGGCCATCTCAGGGTCGGTGCTGGCCCAGCTGCCACGGCTGCACTCGCTGCTGCTGGGCTCCAACCGCCTGCACCAAAACCATCAGGACAATGCAGTGGCTTTCAGTGCACTGCAGGGTATAGAGGTGCTGGACCTGTCGGCCAACGGCTTGGAGAGCCACATGGTGAGGGGGTTCCTGAGTGGCCTCACTGCACTGCGGGTGCTGCACCTGCACGGAAACAGATTGAGCCAGCTGCCAGCGGGCATCTTCCAGGGCTCCCCGCGGCTGAGCGAGCTGGATCTCAGTAACAACTACATCATGGACATAGAGGAGGGAGCGTTTGAGGCATTGCGGGAGCTGGCGGTGCTGAGCCTGGCCCTGAACTCCCTGCACTGCCTCTCCAGCTTCAGCCTGCGGCAGCTGCAAGTCCTGAACCTGAGCCACAACGCCCTGGAACTGTTTGGCTGGGAGGAGGGACGGGGTCCCTACCTGCTCCAGGTGCTCGACCTGAGCCACAACCGACTGCTTTCCTTCCCACAGCTCCCAGCCGCGCACCGCCTCGTGCACCTCAACCTCTCCCACAACTCCATCACTTCGCTGGACCCCAGCTCACAGCACCCAGCCCAGTTTGCACTGCACTACGAGGAGATGGTGAGCTTCAGCACCTCGCTGGCCACCGCAGCCAACCTGGCCCGCCTGGCCGAGCTGGACCTCAGCTACAACTGCCTGCAGCTGCTTCCGCTGCTGTTCTTCCGTGCCATGCACTCCCTGTTCACTCTCAGCGTGGCCATGAACTGCCTCCAGAACATCACCATGGAGCTGCTGACCAGGGACGGGGATGGGGACAGGAATGGCACAGCTGTGTGGCAGGAGGACGCAGCGCTCTCTGTGCGCTCCATGGACCTCCATGGCAACGCCATCCGTGCTCTGCCTCGTTGGTTCTTTGATGCCCTGCCCCAGCTGGAAGCCATCGACCTGGGCTCCAACAGCCTTCAGCCCTGCGGGAGTGACATGGGGGAGATATCAGGAGGGGGCTCTCCAAGGGCAGAACCCTGCACCGCCTTCCACAGCATCCCCCACCTGCAGCACCTCAGCCTTCGCAGGAACAGCCTCACCCAGCTGCTGCCCCACACCTTCAGCCGAACCCCATTGCTCTCTTTGGACCTTTCTGAGAACCAGGGCCTGGCCGTGCCACGGGTGGCACTGGAGGGGCTGGAGCACTCCCTGCAGCAGCTCTGGCTGCGGGGGAACCACATGGACAACAGCAGGGCTGAGATCCCTTGCTTGGACAAGCTCAGGGTGTTGGACCTCTCGGGCAACCGCCTAAGCCTTCTGCCCACGGGTTTGTTCTGCTCCCCACTGCAAACCCTGGATGTCAGCGATAACCAGCTGCCAGCGCTGCCCAAGCAGGCACTGCTGGGGTGGACCCACAGCCTGCAGGCATTGTGCCTGGCAGGGAACCCCTTCCATTGCTGTGAGCTGGGCTGGCTGGATGCTCTGCAGGCAGCTGGCGTGCAACTGCCCGACCTGCACCGCGCACGTTGCATCCACCACAGCATCACAAACAGGACAGCACCACTCGGCAGACGCCCGCCATGGCCGTGCCCACAGCCCTGGGATGGCAGCCCAGCACTGGTGCTGGCAGCCCTGCTGGGTGTCCTGCTGTGTGCAGGCTGCAGGGTGTGCTGGCTGCGGGGCCACAGGATGTGCATCCTGCTGCCACAGCCCCAGGTAGACAGAGTGGCCGAGGAGGAGCCAGCACACAGCGACACCAAAGTATAGCCAGGAGAACCAACTGCAGCTGTGTGTTGTCAATACTACTATTAATATGATTATATTTCAGGCACCTCTCCCAACACGCTGCGTGTTCTGCAGATCTGATCGCACACATCCAGCGCTGGATAGGCAGCACACAAAGCTGGGTCCCTGCAGCCCATTCTTTGCAGGGAGGAAGATGCCTCATCTGCAGGGCCATGAGCAGTGTCAGGAGAGGTTCTGCTCTCTGCTCATGGGAAGGGAATTGTCCCTGCAGCCAAGAACGTGGTGCCACCACCGTGAGTTTGGCAGCCTGGCTCCCAGCTGGCACCCATAGGGTCAGCAAGGGATGGACGAGGCAGCAGATGGGTGCTGGCTTTGCCAAGGGGCTGAGAAATAAAGGACAGCAACCAAAGAAGGACAAAGAGGGACTGAGGCGTGGAAATCAATCCAGGGAAACGGTGCATGGTCCTCTGCATCTGTATCTGATTTAACAAGCAGCTCTCTGGACTGCGTCCCACGATTGCTCCCAGGAGAGCCCCATGGTTTTGGTGTTAGGAGCTTTCTCTTGGTTGATACCAAGCTGAAATGATTATGTCAAAATGCTGTGTCAAAGTGATTCGTGCCCAGCTGTGGGACAGTGCGACTCCTGGTCTGAGAGGAGTGCTGGCACTGACAGACCCTGGCATTACAGATTTTCTAGAGAATCAGTTGAGAAATCCAGCAAAACTAATTCTTTCCAGTGGAAACCTTTCACATGTCACTGAATCACGCCATTTTCAAAGTAAAAGAGATTTTATCAGAAGTTCCCAACTGGCTGCTCTGCTAACTTATGTGGAAATCACCTTGTCTGCAACTAACTGGAGTTAAGGCATAGTTGAGCTTTGCCCCCTTTTCTCCATGCGATCAGGAGCCTGGCTGGGAGCTGTGGGATGCAGTGGGCAGAGTCCCCCCCGTGCTGCCCCTCTGACGGGCAC